CTCCTCCACCTCATTCAACAAACTATTACTCCTCCACCTCATTCAACAAGTTAGTTTTATTCAAAGTTTGTTTTTATTTATTTTGAGAGAGAGAGCAAGTAGATAAGGCCAGAAAGAGAGGGAGACAGAATCCCAAGCAAGCTCTTTGCTGTCGGCGCAGAGCCCGATGCAGGACTCAAACTCACATCGTCGTGAGATCATGACCTGAGCAGAAATCACGAGTCGGACGAACGCGTAACCTGCTGAGCCACCCAGGTGTCCCAACGAGTGAGTTTTAAAAACCAGTTGCTGGTGCCTGTTATATGGCAGACACTGTCCCAGGCTCTGGAAAGTCAGTGAAGGCAAGTCAGAGTCCCAGGCTAGGGGCAGAGGCGCCCAGCAAAGGAGGGCTGCGGTAGATGAGCCCCTTTTATCTTCTGCCTTCTCCCTACCCCTCTCTTCCCTTCCAAGAACTACTTAGCAGAACGAGCCAGAAGTGTGCTCCTCTTAGCTTCCAGCCTCCCCATACACAAGTCTCCCCAAGGTTCACCTCTTCATCATTGAGAAGGGTTTTGGGGGCCCCACCAAGGCCTTGAGTGATTCAGTGACTGAGATCTTACCACTTCCACTCTTACTCATGTGTTAGACCCCGGCTCCAGATGGGGCCAACTAAGGAGATTCTTTTTTACCTTCGCCCAGATATTTACCCCACCTTATTCCTCCTTCTTTCTTCAGGGTAAGGGGTCACTCCAATTGTCCACTGCTGATCCCTCCATCAGACTCAGGTCCATTCTCTCTCTCCTCTAGAATCCCCCTCCCCTCCCTCTTTCTCTCTTCTTACGGAATCTTTCCTATCGGTGTAATAATCTCTCACTTCCACCTTCAGAGTGCTCACCTCCATGCCAGCCAGTGCAATTAGACAACAAAGAGCATCTCAAAGCCTTGAAAGGAGGAGATAGAGCTAACACTTGCAGGTGGCTGGGTACTGAAAAGGAAGTGCTATAAATAAAAATACAGTAAGTCACCGAGGCACAAAATTCCTACAGAGTAAATTGCGTCCTGATCAGATATTGTAATGGAAGGAAAGACTTTATTTATAGTAGTATTAGAAAAGATAAAGTACTTTGGGATAAACTTAAGAAATGTTCAAGATCAATATGAAGAACATTGCAGGATTTCTGAAGAACACAGAAGACCTACAAACATGCCACGGCCACGGGGCAGTAGACTCGATATCACGAAGATTGTGACTTTTGGTGTGTTTCTTTGCACATTTAATGCAATTCCAATAAAGATATCAACAGAAGAAGACGTGTGCCCAGCAAGCATATAAAAAGAGGCTCAACACCATCAATCACACCCACTAGAATGGCTAACATCAAAAAAAGACAATACCAAGTGCTGGTATGATCACTTTGGAGTTGGTTTGGCAGTTTCTTGACCCAGAAATTCTACTCCTATTTACCCAAGTGAAACATATGCCCATACAAAGGCTTGTATATAGATGTTCAAAGGAGCTTTATTTGATCACCAAAAACGGAAAACTACAAATAAGTAAATTGTGCAGTTATCCATATAGTGGAAGGAGCATAAACTAAAAAGGTGCCAACTACAGATAGACCTAATAATACAAATGACCCTCGGCAGCACTACAGGGAGAGAAAGAAGCCAGACACAAGAGGGGATGTACTATGTGACTCCATTTTGTATGAAGCTCGAGAAAAGTGGAATTTATTTATTTTTATTTTAATGTTCATTTATTTTTGAGAGAGAGAGAGAGACAGAATCCGAAGCAGGCTCCAGGCTCTGAGCTGTCAGCACAGAGCCCGATGCAGGGCTTGAACTCTTGAACCACGAGATCATCACCTGAGCCAAAGTCAGATGCTCATTGGACTGAGCCACCCAGGCGCCCCTGGAAAAGTGGAATTTAATCCATCGCAATAGAAAAGCAGATCAGTTGTGGCCTGGGAAAGGGATAGGGGAAAGGGGCATGGGGGAATTTATGAGTTGATGGAAATGTTCTAGCTCTTGATCGTGTTGGCTGATGGTTACACGGTGCTCACATTTGTCGAAACACATCAAGCTCTACATTAAAATCGGCGCATTTCATTATATTATACTTTTTTTTCTTTTTTTAGTAATTTTTTTTCTTTTTTTTTCTTTTTTTAGTAATTGCTGGAGGAAAACCCTGTTTTTGCTGGGACTGAAAATCCAAGTTAAAGAGCAGTAAGCAATTGAATGGCAATAAAAACCCTACGCTGAGATGCAATTTTTCACTTAACCAGATTGTTAAAAAATCCAAAAGTTTAATGACACACTGTGTTGGCATGGCTAGAAGGAAAAGCACACTCTTCATCACTAATGATGGGAGTGTAAATTGGAATAACCCCTAGCGAGGGTATTTGGGCAATATTTAATTGAACTACGAATGCTTTGACCTAACAATTCCCCTGCTGGGATTTTATCCTCCAGATCTCAACCACAAGCAAAATCACGTATGTTAAAGATTATTACCAGTGTTGTTGGGAATAGCAAAACATAAAAAATAATCTGAATGTCCATCGATGCAGACAGGTTAAATATATTACGATACGTTTGTAGGAGGGAATCCTACGTAACTACAAAACCCAGTGGGAACAGTCTCTGCCTGCTATTACAAAAAGATCCTTAAGGTGTAATGTTAAGTGAATGAAGGATTGTTATATTTGATGTTGCCATTTGTATTTTAAAAATCCAGAGGGGCACCTAAGTGGCTCAGCCAGTTGAGTGTCTGACTCTGGATCTCATCTCAGGTCATGATCACAGGGTTGTGGGATGGAGCTCTGTACTGGGCTCCAAGTTCGGCGTGGAGCCTGTTTGAGATATTCTCTCCTTCCCTCTCTCTCTCTCTGCTCTTCTCCCTTACTTGCATTCTCTCTCTGAAACAAACAAATAAATCTAGAGGCAATATATTTGGATTTTCTTGTATTTATATGCATTAAAAAATTCTGGAAAAATAACAAAGAAACTAGTATCAGGAGGAAGGTGTGGGAAATACGTGGATGGAGTGAGGAGTAGGAGAGACAATTTTAAAAGTAGGCCTTTTTAATCCTTAAAAAGTTTTTAGGGGTGACTGGGTGGCTCAGTCTGTTGAGTGTCCGGCTCTGGATTTCAGCTTAGGTCATGATCCCAGAGTCATTGGATGGAGCCCCGCATCAGGCTCTGCGCTGAGTGTGGAGCCTGCTTAAAATTCTCTCCTTCTGCCCCTCTGCCCTGCTCACCATCTCTCTCTCTCAAAAAAAAAAAAAAAAAAATTAAGGAAAGTTAAAATAATTTTTTGAACAGGACCATATTAACTATTCAAAATTTACTTATTTTTAAAATAACATCAAAGTAATATGTCAACATAAGTATTTTAATTATCATTACACACAAGGTCATCTTGAGGGGGGAAATGATATATAGCAAGCATCTAGTCCAGTGCGGGGACATATTTGGTAGTGTTACTATTTTTTACCCCCCCCCCCCACCATACTTTAGGTTCTGGTTCCCCAAATGGAGGCGCTGGGCTGCCTCTGCTGTCTGTGTCCTCCAGGGCACTTTCCGGCCTATGGAACGCTTTGCTCCCATCTCTTCCCTTCCTCATCCCTTCCCTCTCCACCACCTCCTCAGGGAAGCCTCCTCCGACACTTTCTCCCTCCCTCCTCACATCCTCCTCCCTCACCTAAGTGCCCTGGGGACGGGGAACTGTAAGGCCTTCTCAGCCCCCCGCAGCCCAGGGGTCCTTGAACCCGTGTGCTCCCTTTCTTGGAGTGCTGCCCTGGCCGAGGAATGAGTTCCCCTCGACAGGGGGACTGAAGGGCAGGCCTTACCCTACACCTATACAGATATCCAAACGTTTCCATTTCCTGTAAATGTTTTGTTCATCTTCCCACACCCACAAAGAAAATCTGAGTTTCAGTTTCTCTGAAGGAAGACGCCTGGGTTTTCCCGTGAACTCGCAGTGCACCGTGTGCAGTCGTGGCGGAAGGAACAGACACATGGCTCACTTGTGCAGCTCATGGTCCAGCAAGGAGAGCAGGCACTTCTGCAAGGAACAGTGGCACAGTGTGACAGCCCCAAAGTGGAGACGGGGCCCAGTCAAGAGCGGAGGACCATGCCCCACTAGGCCTCAGGGGTGGCAGAAGGGTGGCTGGCCGGGGCAGGAAGGATTGGAGGGAAGGCTTCTGAACAGAGCCCTGGCTAGTGGGGTGGCCTCCAGGTGAGGGGACAGCGGCAGAGCGGGGACAGCGGCCTGGGGCTCTGGTTCTCCAGGACGGGGCCCCATAGCTGAAACCTGAGCCCGCAGGCTACGCAGGGTAGGCTGGGAGGACTTACAGGAGGAGGAAAGGGTAGGCACTGGCAGAAACCAACGGAGCCTGGTGCCAGGGGAGCTTGGGGGGGGGGGGGGAAGCCCGGAGGGGAAAGGCCTGGTGCCAGAGGACAAGCCAGAGGCTGCTTCTCAAAAGGAGAGGTCCGGGTTTCTGTGGCCTTCCCCACCCCCAAAACTTTCCAGGAAATGAGATTCATTTCTTAGGGCTGAAGAAGTAAAAGTCCCCTTCTCTGGGGTCCCTGGGGTTTGGGCTGGACCACTGGAGCAGAAAGCCGCGGCCAGGCCTCCAGGCCCAGTTCCTTCTGTTTCCTTCCCTTCTGCTGGTGGAGAAAGAGTGACCTGGGTGTAACAGGATAAGGGGAACTGACAGTGGCTCCTGAATGTGATCAGAGCCCCTACCCGGCCCCTCAGGAGGCTGTTGGCAGCCCCAGCTCTGACACACCCATTCCCTCTCTTCCCTGGCAAACCTCTGCCCTAAAGAGGAACAGAGTGCCCAGCACCTGCCCCAGGGGCTTTGAAACCCTTGGCAGGTAGGGGAACTGTGGGTGGTTCAAGTGTATCTTGAGGGCGTGTCAGCCTCCAAACCCTCATTCTTGCCTGGGGGTGGGGGGCAGTAGGGAAATGGCCTCAGGAACCCCCCAGTCCACCCAGTGCCCCCACTACTCTCCAGGAAGTGTAAACAGCACATTTATTGGTAGTTTGCAAATCTCTGGTAAAAAGCACAGAACAGCAGGGCTCTCCGACATGCTGCCCTGGGCCCCAGCCCGCCAGGCATGCAAGACGGAGCTGGCCAATTAGTCAGGACTCAAGGCGTCTTCAGGGGCAGGGCCGGCGGCAGAGCAGGCCCCACGCTTTCCCATCCCCACCACCCGCTAGCCTGGGCCCACACTGCAACCAGGGAGGCGGGCCCAGCCCAGGCCCCAAATCCCTGCCCTGCAGTGGCCTGCCTTCTCCCCGACTCCACCTCTCTGATCCCTGCTCTGGAGCTGGGACCCGAGCCACACGCCCTGCTCCCTCACACTGGCACCCACCCAGCTGCGGTCAGACTGCTTCCACGGGCCCTGCGTCTCCAGTCACCTGTCATCACACTGTGTACTCAGCTCAGGGCTGGGCACCCAGCAGGAGACCAGGATGGGCAAAGGCTTGTCCAGAGAACAACTGGAGGGGAGAAAGGCAGGGCGGCCTGACTCAGTCTCTCCCAGCCTGTTGTGTGCCAGCCTCCATTCATTGGCTCCTGGCTGGGGATGAAACTTCTCCGGGCTTCAACAATCCAAGGTGCAGCACTGGTGCTGCCTCCTCCAAGATGCCTGCCTGGCTTGATGCCAGATTCAGGGCTGGGCTATGGACAGTCAACCAAGGCTGCTACTTTAGGGCCCTGAGGACAGCCTCCAGCTTCATGGCCACGGCCAGGTCACCTTTCACCTTTAGCCGCCCACTCATGTAGGCCCCCAGGGGCCGCAGCTCCCTGCACAGAAGGGCCCGCAGGTCCGCCTCAGCCATCTCCACCACCACGTCAGGGACGCCGTCAGGCACCCCGTGTCCTACTCTCCCGTGCCCTGTGTGGCGAGAGAAAACTGAGTATTAGTAGGGATATGGCTGTGCAGCAGGGAGGAGGGGAGAGCAGTAGTTATGTGTTCGGGTTCTAATTCCCTGGGTTCAAGTCCTCTTCGCTGTGAGACCACTCAGGGCTTTGGCTTCTAAATTGGCAAAACGATCATCCCAAAATCAGAGATCTCGTGGTGAGAAGCAGGCGAGATAATGCACAGCAAGGGCTTGGCCTAGAGCCTGGCGTGCAGGAGGCCTGCACTCCATGTGTGGCTCCTGGTGTAGGAAGCCACTAGACTGTCCCGCTGACGAGGGCGGGGCAGGGAGACAGTCACTGCACATGGTGCCTGAGCCCCTGACCAAACTGTTGGCGGGAGCAGGGAGCAACTTTAAAAAGGACCACGGGGGCGGGAGGGGGGTGTGACAGAGAGGGTGGGGAAGGCGGTGGCACCTGTAGTAAGGTCGAGGAAGTAGATGCTCTGGGTACCGCTGGGCAGGAGGACATTGAACTGGTAGCAGGCCCCGACCTGGCCGACCAGGGCCTCCGACAGGAAGGGCTGCAGGGCAGTCAGCAGCCCCTCGGCCAGAGGCTGCTTAGGGCTGGGCCCAGCACTGCCGGGAGGGGCAGGCAGCTCCACTTCGCTCACCATCTCCACAGTGTCCGCTGGGGGGGGCCGACAGGGTGGGGGAAGGAGGCAGAGAGGAGAAAGTCAGTGTGCTGCCAAGATCAGGGTCACCGTGACCTCCATACCTCTCCTGGCAGCTTCCTCTTACATGCCCTTCAGGCCTCAGTGCAACTTCCACCTCTGCTAAGAAGCAGCCCTTAGGTTTTCAGCCTTACCCCCAGACTCTGTTTCTAAGCTACTCCAGCCCTGAGAGTAAAATCCTTTCCCAGTGCTGTCACTTCCTCCCACAGAGGCTCCCAAAGGCCTCTACTCATTCAGATACCTGGGCTCTTCTTGCTGCTTAGCCCTGGTCCGCTTTACAGTGGGGCTGGCTGAGCAGCTGGGCAGGGGTGCACTGTGCACAGGGGCGGAGCTCAGGTAGGGGGACAAGTGGCAAAGTGGAGCCCGCGCAGGACACCAAGCTGAGAGCCCTGCTGAGCACCTCCCAGTTCTTCCCTGGGGCTCCTCACCTGGCCCTGGGGGTGGGGCCCCTCCTGGCCCTGAGGACAGGCCTCCTCCCAGGAAGTGGAGGGCCAGCTGCTGGAGGGTACTGTCCAAGCTGGGCCCCACTGGGCTGTCCTGGGGGGGCTGGAGCACGGCCTCCACTGCTAGTTCCACTCGGTCCACCTCCAGCCCCCAGGCCCTGGTCACATCATTGATTTCCATCTGGAAAACAGCATGGGGAGAAATGCGGTTAAATCAGCAAGGCTTTCTGGGGGCCTCTTCTTTGGGCTGGAGGTACCACAGCCTCCCAGGACAAGCTCCCCTGAGGGCCACTGCAAGCGTGCTGTGCGAAGCTGGTGAAGAGCAACTGGGAGAGGGGCTGACCCCCCGGAGGCCCAGGGCGGAGCACAGGTGCTGGGAGGGCAGTCAGAGTGGTGACAGGGCCTAACAGAAACGAGGATGGTGGTGTTATACGAAATACACATCTGAGCATTTAAATCATCAAAATACACTTCTGTGCATTTGCTCTGTTCCTGGCTCCCAGCTCCTACAACCCTTGCAATTGCCTGTGAGAAAAGTGATAAAGGTGTCTCTGGTTCTGATGGCAAAGGTGATTTTGGAGCCTACCCAAAGGTGGGGGCTGGCTGCCAGGAGCCATGTGACTGGAGAGTCGGAACTTTCAGTGCTCAGAAGCCTCCCTAAAATCACCAAGAGGCCTAGGATCCAGAGCTCCCCAGCTGGTGAAGACCAGGGGGGTGGGGAGAGCGGTGTGTCTGCAGAGGGTGTGGGAGCTCCGTGCCCCTTCCCCAGGCCACGCTCTGTGTATCTCTTTGGCTATTGAGTCATATCTTCTATGTTTTAAGAAACTGGGGAACATTCAGTGTCCCCCGGAGTCCTGGGAGCCGCTCTAGCAGGAGAACCGGGGAGGTCGCCAGAACCTCCGGTCTGCAGCTGGCAGGTCAGAAGCACCGCTAACAGCCTGGGGCTCAGGACTGGCATCTTTAGTGGGGCGTGGGGGGCAGTCCTGTGGGACGCAGACCTCAACCCAGGGGATCTGGTGATGCTGTCTCCAGGTAGATAGTGTCAGAAGTGAGCTGAATTCTTGGACACTCTCCTGGTGTCTAAAAATTGCTTGGTGTTGTGTGTGGGGAACCCCCCCTCAAATTGGAAATGGGTCCGGGAACCCCGAAAAAAGGACTCTTCCGGGCAATGGAACAGCATGTGCAGAAGCCCGGACGGGAGAACCTGGAATGTTCGGGGAAGCGTAAGTCCACGGAGCTAGCCCAGCAGGTGGGTTGGGAGACCGGAGCCAGCTGAGGGCTCAGGGTGGATCTGCCACGGTTCACTGGGTCTAATCTGACACACAGGAGCCCAGAGAGGAGTTTAGCAGGGAGGTGACAGGCTGCTTGTCGGGACCCTCCCGGCTGCTGTGTGGACACTGGAGTTAAGGGGGCCGAAGGCGCAGGTGTGGAGTGCCGGGTAAGACACTGTTTCAAACTACAGGCAGAAATGATCTGGATCTGGCGTCAGGCAGAGAGGTGGCTGGAAGCCAAGATACACAGAGGCCAGAGCACAACCCCGTAAACTACAGAAAGCTACAGCAAGACACCAGAGAAACAGCAGTGGGCTCGGTGGCTGCCTGCATGTGCAATGAGGGAAGCGGTGAGCAGTCGGGTTTCTGGTGTGGGTTGCTCTGTGGATCGTGAGTCTGGGTGCTCCCCTAGACAGCAAGCACAGACAGACACACAGACTGGGGGGTGGCGAGGGGATGGATGATAACTTTGGAACGGCCAACTCTCCAACAGGGGCCACACTGGGGGTACACAGGGTCCAGGGCGCAGGAGTAGGGCTAGAGCAGAAAGCTGTAAATGGTGTCCAGAGGTAGCCCAACGCGCAGGTGGACGAGCTCCCCCAGGCGGTCCTAGACAAGAGGAGGCCATTGACGGAAACTTGGAAACTGAAGGGCAGGAGAACAAGGAGTAACTGCGAGTGAGCTGGAAGCAAGGAGGAAAAGCGGGCTGTGGAACAGTGGGAGCCAAGGGAAGCAGAGGGTCTGAGAGTGAGAGGAGGGTCCCCAGAGTGAAAGGCTACCGCCGGGTGAAGCGGGTGAAGCGAGCGCAGGACTGAAACGCACCCCAGGGCAGGCAGGAGGGAGGTCATGCTGCTATCTGTCTTAGGGGCCTGGAGGAGGCCTACACTGAGGACATGCTGAAGGGCAGGAGAGGGGCAGGTGGGAGCCAGGAGGGGCCGGGTGGCGGCAGAGCCTTTGCCCACAGGGAAAGGAGAGGAGGAAGGACTAGCGGAGGCAGGAGCCGAGCCCTGGACCCAAAGCACCGCCCTGGCAGGTGGAGTCTCCAAGGAAACTGGCAGCAAAAATAGCACCGAGGTAGAGCAGGTAGAAGAGGTGACACTGGAGGTGCTGAAAGGGCTCTTGTCCTGGAGTGGCTGCCACCTCCCCCCCCGCCGCAACCCCCGGCCAGGAGCAAGAGGAGAGGCTGCAGCAGAGGAACGTGGGGTGGGGTGGGCAGTGAAGGGGAAGCAACCAGCCTGCAGGAAGAGTGAGCAAGCAGCTAAGGGAGGGCCCGCAGGGGCAGTGGGGAGTGTGCACCCCTCCAAGGGGGAAGTAGGCAAGAAGGCGACTGGGAACGAGACACTCCCGGCTGACCAGGGCTCCGGGGAGGCATGCCGGGTTTCCTGGGATTTCGTTTTAACCACAGGCCCCTGACCCTATCCTACCAGGCACCAACTCACGCTCGGCACCAGGCCCTAAATGACTAACATCATGCTGTGGGACTGACCCCCCCCAAACTGCCTCTTTTCGGCTCTGTTGCATAACACATCTGGCTTTCTGGTTTCTTCCCTTCCCCGCTCCTGACAGCAATGACGGAGATCAGTCTTCTCTGCAAAGCACATTAAAATGGAATGTGGTTTCATAAATAAAAAGTGGTATCAACTGTAGAAGATGGAGCACTGGATGGAGGGGTGTGGGATGGGAGTGCAGGTGATCTGCTTCTAGGCTAGCCCTGTCCTTGACCGAGACTGTTAGAGGCATCTCAAATAGTTTCTGAGCCCTGGGTGCCTGAGTGGCTCAGCAAGTTAAGCCTCCGACTTCGGCTCAGGTCATGATCTTGGGATTTGTGGGTTCGAGCCCCCTGTGCTGACAGCTTGGAGCCTGGAGCCTGCTTCATATTGTGTCTCCCCCTCTCTCTGCCCCTCCCCTGCTCATGCTCTCTCTCTCTCAAAAAGAAACAAACATTAAAAAAATGTTTTTAAATAGTTTCTGAGCTTTTAGGGTCCTCAGTCTGAAATAAAACAGTGATAATCCAGCCCTCTCGCAGCAAAAGGTAAAGCAGAGCTACACCTGGGCAGGCAAAGGGGCCCGTAAACTAGAAAATGCTCTGCACGTGAGCGCTGTGGTCACCATCACAGCAGGATTTCTTGAGGAGTTTCCCTCACGCGGCTGATCCACCTCCTGAAGGGACTGGCATCACCCCACCCCTCCTGTCCTCTCCCCCCAGGTCCCTGGGGGAAAGCGAAGCCCAGGGGAACAAGGGGAAACCTCATCCACGGTCCACTGGGACATGGGACAAAGCACATGTTGAGCGTGGGGAGCAGGGGACGTGCTGCCACATGCATATTCACTTCTGCCCCATCTTGTCACAGAAGGGACATGAGGGGAATTCTGCTGTAGATCATTACTCACGCACGGAGAAGAGGCAGGAAAAAGGTCCCCGTGTCCCTTTGTTCTGTCCCCAAAATGCACATGGTGCACACGAGCCTGGAATTCCCCAGAAGGTGACTGGCAAGAGGCCTGCCTGTGAGGCCCAATGGCTCCCGGCCACGCTGGCAGGGCAGGGTAAAACCCCAGTGGTGAGGCAGGGCCCAGGAATCTGGCGGGCCGCTCCCCTCCCCTTTGCCTCTCTAAGACGGGCTCACCCAGGACCGCTATGGTCTGCATCCATTTTCTGTTCCTCAACTCACAGTCCCACCCACACCACTGGCTCTTCAGAAGTTAGGACACATGGTAAACTGAGGCCCAGAGTGATCTGGCACTTTGCTCAAAGTGCTCTGGAAGCAGAGCCAGGCCCAGGTGCCCACCACTGACCTCTACCGTGTGAGGAGCTGCCTACCAGGAGCTGGTCGCTGATCTTGAGCTTCTCCATCTGGATCTCCCGCAGAGGCCTCTTGAGCAGGGCCTTGGTCATGGCATTCTGGGCCGTCATGCGTGTGGCTGTGTTCAGGTCCTTCACAGTCATCACAGATAGTACGGGGTCCCAGATGCGGAACTGGACATCGGCGCCCACAGACAGCACAGCCCCATCCTTAGAGGCCAGCTATTGGGGGGGGAGGGGCATGAAAGAGGAGACACTCAAGGGGCTGGTGCTGCTGGGAGGTCGGGCCCATTGAGACCACCCAGCTTGACCCACCCACCAGGGACCTAGCTCCTCAAGGGGAAAACTACGTCCTCAGGTGCATGGGTTTAGGTACATGAAGCAAGGACGTCGTTCCACCTCCATCCTCAATGTTCTGGTCACTTCCCCCACCCCAACCCCGACGGCTACTCATACACCAGGGTACCGGCTCCCACAATACACTCTGCACCAGCCCCCCGCCCTCTGTCCAAGGGAGCCAAGAAGCCCCGCACCTTGCAAGGAGGGATGTTGAAAGCTCGTGTCCTCAAATCCACCCGCTGAAAGGAGTCAATGAAGGGCAGGAGCAGAACCATGCCAGGACCCTGAGGGGTGCGGATCCGGCCCAGTCGAAACACGATCATTCGCTCATAGGTGGGCACGATCTGTTCACACGAGCAAGGGAGAGGGGTGAAAACGCTGAGCCTAGACAGACAACAGCGGCTGGCAGGATCCCCCCCACCTCTCTCTCCCTTGCTTTGGTTGGTGTCAGTTAGTCTTAGATCTTTCTAGAAAGAAAACCAAGGCTCTGAGAGATTAAATGACTTACTCAAAAATCTCCGAGACCCCATGTGAAAAGCCAAGATGTGAATATAGTCCTAAATGACTCCAACCCCAAGCAAAGGGCTTTACCAATTTTTGAAGTAAGTATGTCCCAGTTGAGAAATGAAGGCCCAGAGAGGCAAAGTGACTTGCCCCAGGTCACACAGTATTTGTTTCAGTGGCAGTTGTAGGACGAGGATTTAGGACCTTCATAGGCTTCCTCCCCAACCACACCAAACCCAAAGGCTTTCTAGAAAAGTTAACTATTGCCTAGGGCCACACAAAGGGCAAGGCCTTCCTGGGCTTCCACCTTCACTGCAGCTCTCAGATGTGATCCTTAATGGAAGTTCATCTTTTTCCCCTCTGCACAAGCCCTTGTTGAAAACCAGGCCCGAATTCCTATTACTCATTACCTGCTGGGCCAAGTTGAGTGTTTTTCATTTCAAATTTTAACCTAACCCAAAGAAAGGAAGATATGGCCAAGATATCCGCATGTACCATCAAGCCAATGTCCAGACCCCAGGACTTGGGAATTTGGGAAGGCTTGCTGAACATCTACTGGCTCCCAGTATGACTTTGAGCAAGTCTGAGCCCCTGTTTCCTCATCTGAAAGATGCAAATGAACAATCTTTGACTAGCCCATTTCATCAGGGTGTGATAATCTAATATTTAGGGGAAGGGGATGGAGAATGGGGAATTCATCCAACAAAGCTAGAGCTTTCAGTGTGGCCCAACCACCCTGAGGGTGACCTGGCCAGCCTTACCTTCAAAGCAAACCAGCCAGAAACAGGAAAGGTGATCATCAGCAGCAAGAACCCCAGGAAACTGATGAGGCCGTGGCAGAGGTAGGAAGGCCAGCTCTGAGGTGCATCTGGGGACAGGAGAGCAAAGGCAATCAAGAAATGCCACTGGTTCTGGTAGGATAGCAGCAGACTGAATGAACTTGGTCAAGCGTACCTTTTGCCCACCCCACCCCCCAGCCCCCTTCATCGGTTCTTTCCTTTTCAGGGCTCTCAGTCACCTCCTTGCCTAGTACTCCCATATCTTGAACCAGATGCTAGTTACGGGGGTTCCCTCCTCCTACACATCAAAACTAATCCCTCTCAGAGTCCCACTCCCACAAGGCCCAGTCTCTGCCAGGCAAGAGCCATTAGATGTGAGAAGCCAGTCCATGGGATGCTCTCCTCACTGGGTATCTGGATCAATTCCCTTGTCTGATAGAGAGCGCCTGGCATCTGTACACACCGTGCTGGGCTGAATGGAATGCGGATGGTATACAACATTCCTCCTCTACCATCAGCCCCAGAAGCCTGCTTTCAGGGACATCCTTTTGGAGATAATACCTTAGCCTAAAGGGATGAAGCATTAATGGCTCAACAGGGATGACAGGGAAGATGTTCGTCTCTGGCTCACAATTCACCCCCTTTAATGCCCTAAGGACTACTGAATGCTTCACTCCAAGCAGCTTCAGATGGGAGGTGGAACTAGGAAGACAGCCTCATCTGAGACAGAGGTCCTGGCCCCTGGAGAACCAAGAGCCCAGAATGAAAGTGGAGTTGCGAAAGCCCCAGAATCTAGGATGATTACCCTCTGCTCTCCTTCCCATCCCAAGACTGGACAGGAGGCAGATAGGAGCCTCTGCTGGCTCCTCCCAGGAACTCCATGCCCTCTGGGCTCTCGGAGCCCTAGGAGACTGCCTGGCTCTGACTCCTGTGGCTGCTGCAGCAAAGAAACCCTTGGATAGACAGGTCGCCTATCCTTACAGGAGGGTTCTATTGTCGGACTGAGGCATGTGGGATCTGGCCCTGGGGAACCACGCAAGCTCTGGAGCAAGAGGACCAGAGCTGACCCAAAAGGCAGCCTGAGGCCTGCCTTTGTCTCTGGTCGCTATCTACCAGGAAACGGGTAGCTGCTTTAGCTCCGGACATGCAGAAGCAGTCACTGGGTTGAAGACGCTGCCATTTCTCTGTGGCCAAAGTGCCCTTGGCGCGCCGGTGACCTGCTATACCTAGACCCTGGGTTTTTTCTGGTCAAAACGGGAATGTGAAATCCCTTCCCAGGCTTAAAGGCCTGATAAGAGTCGAGAGGAGAAATCAGGGGCGTGAGGCCTGTGAAAAGATGAGAGAGCTCCGGGGCAACAGCCCAGCAGTCCTAGGGAGGGCGGAGGAGCGCTAGCATCCCAGTGTTCGGTCCAGGCCCTTCCCCACATCGGGGCCACTCCCGGTGCCTCCTCTTAGGGTGCGAGGGCGCCAGACTGGCTGACTCCAGAGGGTGCCGGCCGGTCCGCGCGCCGGGTCCGCTGTGCTGGGCGGCCACTCACCGGCCCCCGGCCCCACGCCGCCCCGCTCCGGGGACAAGCAGCCCTTCTGCGAGCCCAGGAAGCCGAAGCTCGACTGCTGGAAACGGTCAAAGTCCCCCAACGGCAGCGCCCGGTACCCAGACCTGCCGAGCATGGCTCTTGCCTGGGGCGCGCCCCGCGCCCCCGCGCGGTACCGGCCGAAAGCAGCCGGACGCTCCCCAAGCCTGCCCCCGGCTGGCAGGGGCCGTTTCCGGTTTCCCGGGCCGCGGCGCAGGAGATGGCTAGCTCGGCCTGGTTCCCCCCGGCGCACAGCGCCCCCTGCTCCGGGAGGACCGAACTCGCTGGAGCCTTGCCTCCCTGCTCCCTCCGCCCGGCTCTAGAAAATCTAAATGCAAATGGTGAATTTACTCCGGGAAGCATTGACTTTCAATATGGTGTTTGGGCAGGGTGTCTTTCAAAGTAAGCAAAGAGGGGGAGCCTGGGTGCAACCGACTTTAGCTCAGGTCTCCATCTCGCTGTTCATGGGTTCCAGCTCTGCATCAGGCTCGGCGCTGAGAGCTCAGAGAGCCTGAAGCCTGCTTCAGATTGTGTGTGTGTCTCTCTCTGCCCCTCCCCCACTCACACTCTTTCTCTCTCTCCCCAAAATAAATAAACATAAAAAAAAAAGTGAGCCTTGAATGCCGAGAACAAACTGAGGGCAGATGGGGTGGGGGGAGTGGAAGGGGGTGATGGGCATGGAGGAGGGCACTTGTGGGGATGAGCACTGGGTGTTATATGGAAACCAACTTGACAATAAACTATTTTAAAAAATAATAAAAAAACAAGTGAGCTAAGAAATTAATAAAACTTTCCTTGTCTCAGCCACATGCCAGTCCTGCCTCCTCAGACCCCTCACACCCCAGCCATAGCCAGGTCTCTTCGACGTCCTTTCTGCAGATGCTGCTCACCATCTTTGGCTTTTCCTAGTTTGATGGCCTGATTCTAAAGCCCTGGTGGGTACTGGGCAGGCTGGTGGGTAGGGTAGGCCCCTGAGGCCTCACACAGTTCCTGGGAAGTTGGGTCTCCCAGCCATTCCCTTTCCCCTCCACACCCCAGACAAATAAGCTTTACAAGGGCAAGGTCCTAGCACCATCCCTAGTCGGCTCCAAGCTGGAAGTGAGTGCAGAATTGTATACAGCAGTTAGCACAGTGGTTGGGATGGTTTGATGTTTGAAGCCAGGGGCCTGGCCCCAGTGAGGAGTGCGCTTTCTCCCCTCACCAGCTGGGAGCTGGCATGCTTCTCCTTCGGCCAAGAGCTGATTTGCTCTCCTTGTGGTCTTCATATCTCCTCACCAGTTCTCCCCCTCCCAGCCTGCCTGCCACCATTGCCGCAGACTTACCAGCCTTTCCAACTGTCACCCAAGGCATCGTCCTGTCCCCCTCATCTCCACTCAGTGACCTCCCAGTGTCTCTGGCTCAGATGCCTCCTCTGCATCCCATAGCCGTTGTCCTAGAGCAGGCCACCTGTTTCAGGTTGTCAGAGTGACCATCCCAGCATGCATGTTGGGTCATTTTCCTGGGTTCTAAACTCACTCTCTTGTTGCCCACAGAGCTGGTCCATCTCCTTGGCTCTGATGTCACTCATGGGTCCCCTCTTAAATCTGAAAAGGACTCAAACAGGCTCTCCTGTGTCAAACCTCCATGCCTTTGCACGTGCCGTTCCAAGCTTCCCTCCACCCCTAAACCCTGGCGACCACCCACCCTCCTTCCCGTTCCTTCAAGTGCCACCTGAGAATCTCCTTTCCAGCCAGGCCCAAGAGTGTATGAAAACCTCTGTTTGGGTAACTGCTCTTCTACTAGACCTAGGGTTCTCCCAAAGCAGGGCCACCTGTGGCTCATCTCTGTGCCCCCCTCCCCGCCCCTCCCTCAAAGCCAAGGACGAGCGCTGCTCCCTTTCCAGCTCAGCTCTGCTACATTCCCTTTACCCCCAGGTCTGTAGAACATCTACTCCTCTCCTCCCACCCCTTCCTCCGGCCCTGGGCGTGTCTTCAAAGCCCATAAGCCGGCCTCTCCGCCCATAGAACCGCCTCTCCGCCCCTAGAACCTCCCCTCCGCTCTGTCTCACTTCCTCTCGGGAGGCGGGCCCTCAGCGGGCACCGCCCCTTTCAGACTGACTCGCAGCGACTCCAGAGACTTGGCCCTCTGGCGCCTGCCTCTCGTTCCGTTTCTCCTCCCTCCCCTCAAGCTCAAAACCCAGAATCGAAACTGTGCTGTGATCCATGCAGCGGGAGCCTGCACTCGCCCGATCTCCGGGTCCCCAGCAAGACCCCGCCCGGCCCCCCACACCCACCATGCCTCCCCCGGAGTCCGTCTCCGAAGGCCACCAGCCCAGCCCCAGCCACAGCCCCACGGAGGTACTACTGGGTTTGGGGAGATGGGGTTTAGACTTCGTTGATTTGGTCAGTTGCGGGGAGCGGTGGGAAGGGAGAGGGCAACTTGGCCAAGTGCCTTAAAGAGTGCCACAGCGATAAAAGCGGACATCGGGTCCCGACCCTCTGGGCTGGGGTAGGGGGAAGTGAGCGCAGAAAAGGGGACCAGCATGAGTTAGGGGAGCCTCTCTGGCCTGTGATTCTTCACGATTCTCCACGAGCAGGGGTCAAGATGCCCACCCTGGCGCTTTGCCTCCTAAGCCCCTGCCTCAGATGAAGGTCCACGGGTTAGGGAGGATGCCCTATTTCGCAGGCCTGGGGCCAGGGGCACGTTCCAGGTGTGACAAAACCAAAACCCGAGTTCCCAGATCAGGAAGTGGGAAGCTGGCCCAGATGAGAGAATTGTCTTGGCTAAGGCCTCACAGTTCCCGTGGTGGTTTCTTTGCTAAGATACCTCCAGGATCTTTCTCTTGGACCACCTCGGGTGCACAGCCCCCGCCCACAAGGGGGTTATTAGGTCCTCCTCCTGGAATCTTGCCTCAGTCCTCTCTGGGGCAAATGCCCCAGCTCCCTGAAGGAGCTACTTATATCACTTGCTGTATGTTCTTCCAGGTCCTTTGGCTTGCTTTCATGAAAGCACCTTTTTGCCGTAACTTTTTTTATTTGCATTATTACAACTAGGAGTAATCTTACTTAATTCTGAACACTCATGTGCCAGGTACTGTGTTAAGCACTTTTTTTTTTTTTTTTTGCTGTAAAATATCCATAACATAAAACTCACCATGTTTTTAAGGATTTTGTTTTTTGTAAGTAATCTCTACACCCGACATGGGGCTTGAACTTACAACCCTGAGATCAAGAGTTGCATGCTCTTCTAACTGAGCCAGCCAGGTGCTCCAAAAACTTAAGCACTTTTTTAAATGTTTTATTTATTTCTGAGAGAGAGAGAGACAGCATGAGCAGGGGAGGGTCACAGAGAGAGGGAGATAACAGAATCTGAAACAGGCTCCAAGCCCTGAGCTGGCTGTCAACACAGAGCCCAACGAAGGGCTCGAACCCATGAACCGTGAGATCATGACTGGAGCCGAATTCGGAGGCTTAACTGACTGAGTCACCCAGGTGCCCCAATTTAAGCATTTTTAAGTGTACCTTTCAGTGGCATTAAGTATGTTCACAATGTTGAGTAATTATCACCACCCTCTATTTCCAGAATTCTTTCATCACTGGCAACAGAAACTGTACTCTTTAAGCAGTAGCTCCTTAGTAACTCCTTCTCCCACCAATCTACTTTCTGTTGCTGTGACTTTGCCTAGTCTAGAAAGTGGCACCATGCAGTATCTGTCCCTTTGTGGTTTGGCTTATTTTGCTTAGCATAATGTCTTCGAGGTTCTCGTAGCATGTAAGAGAACTTCCTTCCTTTTTATTTTATTTTTAAAATTTTATATTTAAGTAACTTCGACACCAAGCATGGGGCTCAAATTCACAACCCTAAGATGGAGAGTCACGTGCTCTACAGACGGAGCCAGCCAGGCACCCCCTTCCTTCCTTTTTAAAGCTGAATATCCCGTTGCACATGTAGACGACTTTTGTTTATCCATTCATCTATTGATGGACACTTGGGTTATTTCTGCCTTTTGGCTATTGTGCATAATGATGTTGGGAACATGGGTGTACAACTACTTGTTTTCAGTTCTTTTGGGAAACACATCTAGGAATGGTATTTCTGAGTTTGTATGGTTTAACTTTTTTTTTTTTAATTAATTTATTTATTTCTAGGAGAGAGAGAGAGAGCGTGAGCAGAGGAGGGTCAGAGAGAGAGGGAGTCACAGACTGAAACAGGCTCCAGGCTCTGAGCTGGCAGTCAGCACAGAGCCCGATGCGGGGCTCGAACCCACGAACCGCGAGATCATGACCTAAGCGAAAGTCGGACGCTTAACCGACTAAGCCACCCAGGCGCCCCTATATGGTTTAACTTTTTGAGGAGCCACCAAACCGTATTAAGCACTTTATACGATGTTAAATGAGATACACTTTAGTGTGTCTCCTTTCTAAACTGAGTTCATCGGAGGCAGAGATTTATCCCATCCATCCAGGTATCTCAGGGCCAAGGGGAAGCAGATGCTCAGTAAATTGTGGAGGGAGAGCTGGAAGGCTTGATGAGTGGGAGAGTGGGGTGCTGGGAAGCCTCGGTTTTGTATCATCCTGCCTGCAATGGGGTATGGAGTCCCATTCCAGCCTCCAGCCACAGGAACGGGTGCGGTGGGTGGGGACTTCTGGATGTCAGGCCTCACCCGCATCTCTCTGGTCCCCGTCTCTGGTCCCCCAGAAAGCCGTGGAGGAGGAGTTCCAGTTCCTGCGCTGCCAGGGCTGCCAGGTAGAAGCCAAGTGCCCCAAACTGCTGCCTTGTCTGCACACGCTGTGCTCGGGATGCCTGGGGGCGCCAGGCATGCAGTGCCCCATCTGCCAGGCGCCCGGGCCCGCAGGCGCGGACTCGCTGGCCCTGGATAACGTCTTCTTCGAGAGTCTGCAGCGGCGCCTGTCGGTGTACAGGCAGATCGTGGACGCGCAGGCACTTTGTACCCGTTGCAAAGAGACTGCCGACTTCTGGTGTTTCGAGTGTGAGCAGCTCCTCTGTGCCAAGTGCTTCGAGGCGCACCAGTGGTTCCTCAAGCACGAGGCCCGGCCCCTGGAAGAGCTCCGCAGCCAATCGGTGTGCGAGTTTCTAGATGGCACGCGGAAGTCCAACAACATCTTCTGCTCCAACCCCAACCACCGCACCCCTATGCTGACTAGGTGAGCCGGCCGGCCCATGGTGGGGTGGCACATCCCAGATACAGGGAGAAGGTGCAGGGAGCAGAGATCCAAAGAGGCACATAGCTGGGAACGTGGGATAAGGAGGGTCTAGGGTCTTGCAACTCAAAGTGTGGTCCTCAGACCAGCACCATCTGTGCTGTGGCCATGGCCGCAATTTATGCTGTCTCATACAAATAGATAGTAATCGTTTCTGGGTTCCCTCTGTCCTAAATAAAGCTGCAGAAACCGCTTTACACACTTATCCAATAATTTCTTCAGGATAAAGTTGGAAATGCCATTGCTGAGTGGTGAAGGGGTGTGAAAATTTTATACTTTGATACATGTTACCAAACTGCCTTTAGAAAGTCCTACAGTGGAATTTTCCATATCACAGCCATGGAGTCGGGGTGTATAGGTGGATTCTAGATGAGATGCAGGTAGTGCGTTTCTGTCTGAAAAGCCAAAACCATCACACCATACTATCTCAGAATGTCTATTTGAAAGAAATCCTATCGACTCCGGTTAAAATTCTTTTTATTAAACAGCACAGGATTTTAATTCAATATTTTTGATAATACATTTGTATGTCAAAAAGTCACAACATTTATAAAGTGAGGGGGCAAGTCTCCATTCCACTCTGCCCCCATCTGCTTAATTCCTACCATTTCTCCCTCCCTCCCCCATCCACCGTTAAACATCGTTGCCAGTTTTGAGTGCTTCCAGAGTTTCTTTGTGAAAATATTCACAGATAGGGGTATATAGTCTTATACATTCTTATCTTCCCTCTTTTAGCCAAAAAGGTAGCCTACAAATGTGAACTATCCCCACTCCCAGTAGATTGCTTCTGTAAGATTCTGTAGATTCCTTGGGGATCACAAAAAGTGAAGGTATTCTTTGCCCATTGGGGACACAGAACTGCACTCCTCAAAAAACTCACAGTGGCCTGCTTCCTGCCTGGTCTTTTACCACCTGCACTACCAGAATGCATTTCCTGCAAATTCCTCAATAGACAGATAGTATCACTTAGAATTTGGATTTCTTTGTTGTTAAGATTCAGGTTTAGTGGCTTTTTATATGTTTATTGGCCATTGTCTTTTCTTCAATTGTGAATTGCCTACTTAAGTCCTTTGCCTATTTGTTTTTATTTCCTTCCAGAAATTAGTCTCTTTAATTGCAAGAGCCAGTAGCTGTGCAAATGTTTTCTCATGTTGACCTTTGTCATTTCATTTCCTAGAAGGTATTGTGTGTAAGTTTTTAGTTTTATAGAATTCAGTTCATCAGTCTCTTCCTTTACAGTGTCCGGCTTTAATCCTACTAGGAAAGACTTTTCCCCCCTGCCAATATTAAAAATACTTTCCTATATTCTATTTTAATAATCTCATGGCTTTGTGTTTATAATTAAATCTTTAATTCATATGGAATTTATTTTTCTGTATGGTATAAAGTAGGATTCTTACTTTGCTTTTCTCTCCAAATGGAAAGCTGGTTCTCTCAACAACTTTTATTGAATAATCCACTCTTACCTTGTTTTGAAATACCCTTTAATGCTCTACTAAATACCCAAGTAATGAGTATGTTTATAAATATCTGTCCTGGGCCAATGATCTGACTATTCCTGCACTAATCCTTCCTGCTCTAGGGAATGCTTCATGTTTGATAGGGCAAATGAAATTCCCATTATTCCTCATTTTTCTTTTTTTTTCTGTTCTTACAGTTTATGCAATTTCAGAACTTACATATTTATTCGTTGGGATTTTGATTGAAATTGTGTTAAATCTGGGGAGAGTTGGCCTCATGTCTAATTATATCTTTTGAGTTTTATAGTGTTATTGACATACCTCTTGAACTTTTAAATTATAGTTGAATTTATAATATTGAATAGCCCTGTGAATAAACTCTGTTCCATTATCATTTCTAGCTGGTTATCATGAACATCCTCTAGGCCCCCTGATTCATGTATATTCGTATTACACTAGCCATCTGATTGAGCTCTTTCATTTTGGTAAGGTTTTCTAATCGATTTTTTTGGATTCTTTTGGAGTTTCTAGGTAAACGATCATATCCTCTGCAAACAATAAAACCTTTTTCTCTCCAGTATTTATGCATATTTCCTCTCTGTAGCTTTGTTTCATTAGCTAGAACTGCTAGAATATTAAATAGTGTGAAGAAGTGGTCAGGAAAGGCAACTTTATCTTATTGCTAGCTTTCATGAGAAAGTTTATGTGTTCTTATTTAGTACGCTGTTTATTATTGGCTTCCTTAGGTAACTTTACAAAATCACCTTCGCATTCTTCTCTCTTACTATGAGTTTTTTTTTTTTTAATATTTTTATTTATTTCTAGGAGAGAGAGAGACAGCGTGAGCAGGGGAGGGTCAGAGAGAGAGGGAGATACAGACTCTGAAATAGGCTCCAGGCTCTGAGCTGGCAGTCAGCACAGAGCCCAACACGGGGCTCAAACCCACGAACCGTGAGATCATGACCTAAGCAAAAGTCGGACGCTCAACCGACTAAGCCACCCAGGTGCCCCTCTTACTATGAGATTTTTGTGGCTGCTATTTTGTTTTATTTTTAACTCAAGAATGGGTGTTCCTTGGGATTCTGTGAAGGTGTCATTTTACCTTTCAGTATGATGAATTATACAGCAGTATGTTTCCTTATGTTGAGCCATTTATTGATTCCCAGGAGAAAAAACCCTGTTTGGTCCTGATATACTATTATTTTAATTCACAGTTAGATTCCATTTAATACTGTCTTATTTAGGCTATTATCTATATTTATAAATGTGATCAATGTTTATGATTATGTGTAATTTCTTTTAAGTTTTTTGATCCATTTTATACTAATCTTCAGTGAATTTGTAAGCTTGTTTGAACTGGTACACACACACACACGCATGCACGCACACGCACACACACAAATTGCTTAGCACAGTGCCTGGCACATATTAGGTACACAGTCAACGTTAAAACCCTATCCCTATAATTTCTCTGTTCTGCTCTAGAACAGTTCAAGAACATAAGCAATTTGGGTTTATTTCTTTCTTGAAAAACTATCTGAGACTGGTGCTGTGTTTTTTTTTTTTAATTTTTTAACGTTTATTTATCCATGAGAGAGACAGAGACAGAGTGTGAGTGGGGGAGGGGCAGAATCTGAGACAGGCTCCAGGCTCTGAGCTGGCAGCACAGAGCCCCATACGGGGCTCGAACTCACGAACTGCGGGATCATTACCTGAGCCGAAGTCCGACGCTCAACTGACTGGGCCACCTAGGCACCCCGAATGGTGCTGTTTTTGACGAGTCAGGTTTTTTCTCTGGTATGGGTCTGTTGGTGGATCTTGAGTCAGATTTCCTAGAAAATTTTCCAGTTCACCCTAAGCTCTTTCATAATTTAGACATTTCCTTTATACCTGTAATTATGCCCCCTTTCTTATTTCTAAATAAGATGTTAGTAGCTTACAAGTGGTCCCACCTCTGACGTAGGGGTTGGGATGGGTTTCTGTCCAGGTACAATGGGCAGGGGCTGGTCCAGCCAAGAGAGCAGGATTCAGGTCCCTTGAGCAAGGCGGATGGCTTCAAAAACCCAATCATACCACTTAAAAATCATACACAGACACTCACAGTTTACCTTGTTTTCACAATTTGCTAGCACTTACTGGAAACACTCAACTTGTTTTCTCTGCACAAAACTTCAGTGCCATAAATAATCCACAGCTTTCTTCAGGTCACAGTGCAGTCGTAAACCACTCCATCCTTTGACACCGAGCTGATTTAGGAGTCTGGTTGGGCAGCAGCACCACAGGTGGCTTTAAACTCACAACTCAGTCTGGAAATGTCTATCCTGGGGCCACTGGCTTTGATCACAATCACCACTCCTACCACGTGGAGTACATTTTTCTTTTTTTTACATTTCTTTATTTTTGAGAGACAGGGATAGACAGAGCACAAGCGGGAGAGGGGCAGAGAGAGAATGATCACCACTTTCAGCACTTGTAACCACATCCACCACTTGTGTGGAGTACTTTTTTTTTTGAGAGACAGAAACAGAGCACAAGTGGGGGAGGGGCAGAGAGAGAATGAGACACCGAATACAAAGCAGGCTCCAGGCCCTGTCCGAGCTGTCAGGATCTGACGCGGGGCTCGAACCCACAAACCAGGGGATCATGACCCAAGCTGAATTCAGATGCCCAACCAACTGAGCCACCCAGGCACCCCGCGTGAAGTACATTTTTTCAGCCTGCTTCCTCATATGTGGCAGGCTGTCTACTAGGTGCTAAGGTATAAATATGAACAGATACATCTCTGGCCCTCTGTGAGGTCGCAGTCTGGTAGAAGAACCAGATCTGCAACTCACCATCAAGGCTAGAAAGTGCCAGGAGGAAGTCTGCTCACCCTGAGCTTGGATAATTGCCCTTTTCATGCTGTCTTCTACCTTACTACCGTTCATTTTCCCCAAGCAGTATCCCCACACGCACTGGGTTGACATCTGGATGTGTGCTCAGTCAATTGTTAAGGACAGAAAGGAGGAGGAAGCACAGGCACAGAAGTGAGTCATCTTAGAAAGGGCATTGGCTGGCCGTATGCAGCTTCCAAGAGGGTGTCACGTTTAGCCTGACATGTGAGAAAGGAGAAATGGCACTGGGGGCAGGACAGGGTGGACCGGGCAGCATGTGCAAAGGCAGAGGCACTAGCCGGTCGGCTGTGTTTCAGGAATTGCAAGTAAAGGGTGCGCCTGAAGGCAGGGGCTGGAAGGGGGAACTGGGGTCAGACATGGGAGGCTTGATGGATTTAGAACTTGATCCTAAGATTTTAGGACACAGACTGTTCTCAGCTTGTTCCTTTTTCATGCATTTCACTCTTGTTTTATCAGGGAACAGCCTAGAGAACACACTTTGAAAGGGACCCTATGAGGGGTGGGGGGCTCTATTGGAAGCCCACTGATGGCTGTTAAGGCAGAGGGTGGGAGGATCAGATTCTCTCTCTGTGCTGTGGCTCTGTGAAAT